TGTACACAGGGACACGGCTGTGAGAAAACAAAGGTAGAGTGTCCTTCATGGCAACGTTGGTACTGAGTAGGTCCCACAGAAACACAAGATAGAAAAGGCTTCGTCAACCTGCTTGCTGAACGCCTGAAAGCTCACATTTACTGACAGTTATTAAACCTGGGTTACAGTCAACAGGCAGAAATTGGTCATTCACAGGTCAGTATAAATTAAGAGACACAGGAAGTCAGATAACTGGAAGAGCTGGTGATGGGAAAATAAAAAGCATTGAGATCAAAAAATTTTTTAAAAAGCATTAAGATCACAGAGAAAAGAAAAACTGAAAAGGCAGAAAATGAGAAAAGATGTTGCATGTGTCCTAACTGCACTTATCACCTGAATAAGCAGAGACAATGGAAAATTCACTTTCACATTTACCAAATTTTAGTGAGCACCTACTATCTGTTCTGTGTTGTTTTAAACCCTGGAAAAAAGAGGGGGGATCCTGAGAGATATGCTTCTTGTTTTCATAGAACTTACATTCTAGTAAAGGAAGAGATGGACCGACAATGAAGAAATAAAAGAACATCATATGAGACCAATAAGAGGCTAAGAAGACACAAAGCAGAGTAAGGGCATGTCCCTGGTCTCAGACCTATCCTGTACGTGGTCAGCATGCGCTAGAACCAACTCAAGTTGGTCTGAGAAAACCAATTACATGCAGTCTTCCCAACTCCAGGTCCACTACATCCAGGTCTTCCTGTCCCCAGAGTGCACTGTGCAATACATAGCAGAAAGGCTCAGAAGGCCACCGAGATCAGTAAGCACACTGACAAAGGAGTCAGTCTTGTGACTATGTAGGAGGGACAAAAGGAGCAAGTGCGGCCACTCATGAGAAATGAAGAGACCAAGACCAACAAGACGCTGTATTTAAAATGCGGGAGAACATCAACAGGATTATTTCGCTACACAGCTGTTGTCACGTATCCCAACTTACCAGAACAAACACATAATATCTAAATTTCAGAAAACTATATTCAACTGAATGTGGTCACACGTTCCTCATTCCCGGGAGAAGGCTCTGGTGGCAATGTTTGGGTTTTTAAATTCAATCTAACTTACTATCTCCATTCTGCCTTTAAAATGGAAGAGGGACAATTCTGGTTTCTGAGTAATCTGAAAAACCACAAAATTCACCTGTAAATATATGAAAACACAACCTATAATCTACTTATCCGGGAAACTGCAATCACACTATTTTAAACGTTTGGCGTCTGGAATATTCATAGAAATAGAGCATTTCACAAGTTCAGAGGACCTGAAAAGAGGCACCCCCATTATTTTTGGTATGAAGAAATTCAGACCCACAGAGGGTGACTTATCAGAGATGACAGCAGTAGCTGGCAGAGCTAGTTCTGGAACCTTGGATACCGGCCTCATTCAACGCCATCTTCTCAATTTAGGCTGTATCCTACGGCAGCGGTTTAGCAGAAACTGAGCGAGCACACGTAATACCTGAGGGCTTGTTAAAACACCCCACAGACTCCACCCCCAAAGTTTCTCAATCAGTAGTGCTGAGGGCAGCTCAAGATTTTATATTTCTAACAAGGCCCAAGAGCGGTGGTCTGAGAGCTCAACTTCCAGACCCAAAGTCCTGGAATTTGAAATAGAGCTTTGGAATCAGTCTGCTGAGTTCTAGCTTTTGGTCTGCGTTTCTGGAAACACCTTTGGAAACATTACCCAAACCCTCTAAACCTCGGTCTCCAACATCCAAGTCTAGTTGAGCGAACTGAAGAAAAGAATGCTCATAAAGCACCTTGCAATTTTTTTTCTTATTTTGGGGCTGAGGATTGAATCCAGGGCCTTGTACATGATAACCACATACTGGCGTGTCACAGTCTAAGGTAAGAGCTTAATAAATATTAAGTATGCTCTATATTAAAATGTTCCTAACTACATTGTTTTCCCATAAACAATAGAAAAGCTAAACTTCAAAAGACAGACAAGATCAAAGATTGGCAAAGATATAAATCAGCGGAACATTTATAGGAGCTTTTTTCATAATAATCAAACATAGTAAAATCTCCACCATCAAGCAAGAGGATAAACTGATGTATGTGTATAACAGAACACTACTCAGCAATAAGAAAGAACAAGTGATACATAACACGTAATCTCCAAACTGTTTTGTTGCACATAAACAACCAGATGTAAAAAGTGCACACTGTATAATTTCACTCTCACAAAGTTCAAAAACAGTCAATTGTGAAGTAAAAGAAATCAAACAGCCTTTTAAAGTGGAGGACTTAACTGGAAATGGACAAGAGGGAAATTTTTGGAGTAATGGAAAGGCTCTGTATATTGACTTGAGTGATGCTAACATGAGCATATACATTTGTAAACACTCATCAAAGTAGATACTTAAGATCTGTGCAAACGATGTAAATATTGCACAACATATACATGAATACATTACATAGTACTTCATTAATATGTACAATTTTATGTTTTCATATATCAGTTAAAATTAAATTTGTAAAAAAACACTTCTAAAAAGATCTATGCCTATTACTGTAGGTAAATGATATCTTCACATGCATACATAACAACACATATGTAAGTACGAATATGCAAATATATACAGTAAAGTTTCTTAAGGCATTTTGTGACAAAGGCCTGTCCTCTCCATTTAAAATGAACCAACACTAACCCAGCAGGTCCATTTACCTCGATTCCTTCTAGTCCGGTCCCACCTTACATAATCCCACTTACAAGACTATTTTGGTCCAACCATCTTTCCAGAGAACTACTATAAAATAGAACACAATCTTCCCCTATGAGAAGACAATGACAATTCCAAACAGAAAATATTCAGAGTGGCCCTTGTCCTTAGCAGGAACTAACTACAGGAACTAACAACACAGAAGTTCTTCTTTACTATATGCCAGGTATGAGTGTGTCTAATATAATAAGACACAGTAACAAAGGAACAGTAAGACACAATTCTGTCTCTAATTTTAATAGCCCTTGTTGAAATGGTTTCTAGGGCTACTGTTACTGGTAATAAAGGTGGCAGACAAGCTAACTGTCCCCACATAATTTTTACATTAAATAGCTTTCACACTGTAGTGGCTTTCAGGCCATTCCAATTTCCCAATCAGCATCTTTTTCTTAATCCCATGACAAGTAGATCCACATGTACGTACACATATATCCCTGCCATGAACAAAACTGTTCACAAAGAAGGAATGGGTGAAGGAATGAACACTTGGAGACACTGGTCTCTTCAAAACTTCCTGAGTAGCTCACCAAACTCCTAAACTCCCTGCGGAAGAAAACCCAGGGACCACACTCAGCCACAGGCAGCATGGTACACAATGAAATAAACCCAACTCAGAACCCATCAGACACCACCAGCCACCCCACTGGATGGCCAGGTACCCACGCCTGTTCTTCCTCTGTCCTTACTTTAAGGGGCCCTGAACTGAGATGTGCAGCTGCTCTTGTATCAACTGCTTGACACAATATTTTCTGTGGAGCTTTATCAACTCATAATCATCCAGGTAACACATTAAATTTATAATCCATGTTCCTGGATAAATAAATACCTGCTCAAACTCAACTCAAACATAGCAGCAATAGCTAATCTTTACTGAGTGTTTACTCTGTACTGTTCCCCATTATTTGCTTATGTAACACTCATAAGCCAGTTTACAGGTGAGGACACAGCCTGCAAGGCAAAGCCAGAAAAGATGTGCAACGAATAGGGAAGAGTCTCTCCCTTCAAAGGGAATACCTAACTTGGGGCGTCCAAAGTAAAAGTAGCACAGAGGAAGAAGTATTTGTTCATCCTGGCAATATGATGGGGGATTTCGGGGAGAAATGTTAAAGTGAAGGATAAATACACAAATGAGAGAGCTTCCCATTTGCTAAGGGTCAGCTCCTGAGTTCCAAAAAAGCCAGGCCATGTCCGACCTCCTCCTCCATTTCCATCTGGAAGACGCCTGTTTTTAACAGAGGACCAGGTCAGCCCAGCCACCCTCTCTTTTGACACATTTCTCTAGCTGCTGGGTGTCCTTAAGGAGACATACGGAAACTTATCATCATCTTTGAGAACCTGCGTCACCGTGCGTGGCTGCACAAGGAATCCCTTCAAAGGAGCATATTCTCCGGTCGTCAGATAGAGAGACCTTGCATATACCAAACAGGTTCAAGAGACCTACCCACCCCAGAGGCCAGCAAACACTCCAGTTTACATGCCATCCGTTTTCTGCAGACTTCTGAGGGACAAATGTGCTTCCCTTCCCCACGAAAAAAATCAGCCTCTCTCTTGAACACTTGGTAGTTGTGTGACCTTGGGGAAGTCATTTAATGTCAGCGCCGGTTTTCTTATTTGTGATATGAGATTTGTAAAAACCACTCCAAGTTAAAATTGTGAATCAGAATGAGATACCTCAAATAAAAGACTTTAGAGAGAGCCTCACACAGAATAAGCTAAGAAGTAGCAGCTATCTTATCAACAGCAATGACCATGATGGCAGGGTAAATTTGGCCTTGACCCCCGCCCTGAGCGCAACACCCCCTCCCCACTGCATCTGGGCAGAGGGGGGACACGCGCAGCCCGCGCGCTCGGGAGTCTCCAGAAGGTCCTGGGCCGGCCACCTGCAGGGGTCGCCTGGTACAGCCAGTTTTCCGATGGAAACAACTCAACAGCACCCTCGCCTTCCACGCACCCACTCCTAGGGTCTGGAAACTGAGAGGCGGCGAACAGCGGGCAGCAGCACGCGGGCCGCGTGCCCCCGGGACTCGAGGGGCGTCCACCTGTCCTGCCTCGGATCCCCAGCTCTCCTCCGGACTCGGGCCTCGCCGCACGGGGGGCTGGGACGCCTCTCCCCGGCTCCCCTCCACCCGCAGCCCCTCTCAAGCGCAGGTGGGCAGGCCGTCCACGCCGCGCGGCCTCAACTTCTCTCCGCCGCGCGAGCGGGCAGGCGAGCAGGGCTCGGCGTCCCAGCCGCGCGCCTTACCTTGCCGGACGGCTTTGAAGGTGACGGCCTCTTTGCAGCTGTCGATGACGCCCAGCACGTCGTAGCGGGGCAAGCCGGACACGCGGACGCCCTGCACCTCCAGCAGCAGCTCGCCGTCGCCCGCCGCCCCGGCCGCCCCGAGGAACGGGAACTCCCCGTGCTCCGCGCCCCCCAGCACGGTCAGCCCCAGCTCGCCCCGCGGCCCGCGCCTCACGGTGCACTCGCGCACCCTGCTCGTCCAGTGGTTCTTCCTCTGGATCACTTTCGACATGACGACTCACACCGCCTCGACGGAGAATAAATAAATACAGTGGAAAGGAGGCGAAGGCACGCAGGCAGGTGCCCGGCCGCCGCCGCGGCTCACGGGAGGAGCATCACTCGCGCCGAGCGGGCGGCAGCCTCTCCGCGCGCGCTCAAGCCATCGCGGGACAAACTTTCGGGGCCCCCGCGAGCTTTGTTTGCTCTGCGCAGCCCGGGTCCGCGTCCCGGCGCCGGCCGCGCTCGCCCAGACCAGAGTCCACTCGCGCCGCGCCGCGCCGCTTAGTTTCCACCTCTTCCTTTCTTTCTCGCTGCTGAGGAACCCTGCGCCTTCCCCGCCTTCCGCTGGCTCGCGCCCTCGCGGCGGGCTGCTCCGGAGGGAAGCCGAGTCCGCGCGCTCCCGCC